TTTTATTATAGACAGTAGTGATACATTTTCACATTTCAATTATTTTTTAGAATTACTTCATTAAAACTGAAGGTTAAGTGCTTATAAAATCATTCACTTTGCTGCAGAATTCAGTGCAGCGCTGCTAAATAATTCTGAGGGCTTTGGCATATAACTTAGGTCTAATGTGCCATAAATCATATATAAGGCCTTGGTAATAAGCTAGCAGTTTGCCCCACTGCCCCTTTGCAAGGCTTTAGGGCAGGGGTGGGCAAACTTTTTGGCCCGAGGGCCACATCTAGGTGGGCAAATTGCATGCAGGGCCATGAATGTAGGGCTGGGGGGGTTGGGGGTGCAGTGTGCAGGAAGGGGCTTGGGGCACAGAAGGGGTGCAGGGTGTACAAAGGGGCTCAGGGGAGGGGGGTGGCAGGGGACTCAAGGCAGGGGGTTGAGGTGCAGGAGGGGTGCGGCAGGGGCATGGGAGGGGTGCAGGTGCAGGAGGGGTTCAGGGTGCAGGTTCCAGCCTGGCACTGCTTACCTGGAGGGGCTCCAGGGTGGCAGCAGCATGCAACAGGGCTAAGACAGGCTCCCTGCCTGCCCTGACCCCACACCATGCCTCTCCCAGAAGTGGCCAGCACCACGTCCCTGCGGCCCCTGGGGATAGGGGAGTGGGGGCAGAGGGCTTCACGCACTGCTCTCACCTGCGGGTATCTCCCCTAAAGCTCCCATTGGCCACGGTTCCCCGTTCCCAGCCAATGGGAGCTGTGGGGGGTGAGGGCACTACATGGAGCCCTCTGTAACCCCCAGGGGCTACAGGGAGGTGGTGCCAGCCGCTTCCGGGAGCAGCACCCATTTCATTAACTGCTACAGCACCTTAAATTATAACCTGGAGAGACTGCACTTTTTAACACAGCATCCAAATAGTACAGCAGCCCCTTCCTATTCTGTTGTTAGCATTGAATCTGATATGAGACTTGAACTTGCACGATGGTGCACACAGAACAAATGGTTTTGCCATAACTTGTATTTCCTTGAGATTGTCAGAAACTTAATATTTATAGAAAAATTTGCATTAATTATAGGGCTGAAGAATTAATTGATAACTAGATTACATTTATTTTTACACTAGTGTATACTCAGTGAAGTTACACTGCTAGTGCACTATAGGTAAAAATAAAATAAATCCTACTGTACTGTAGTTCACTGTTTTTGCATTTAATGGTAAGATTAGTAAACCTAGTTTAAAAAATGTATACTATCAACAAGATTTGTTAACTTTATTCTTTTACAGAAAGACCAAGAGAGTTTTTGATACATGCACTGGAAAGAGTGAAGCTTGCAAAACTAAGTGATGTGGAATATCCTTACCTTGTGGATGAATCAAATTTGAATGCTATGTTTGAAATGCTGGACACAACAAGTCAAGGCTATATAACCTTAGTGCAGTACAAAGGAGGTTTGTCTTCCTTGCTTAGCATTTTTTAATTAATATGGATTTTTATTTAATACAGCACAGAACATTTAAGCTATAATATGCAAGGTTGTTGCTCAAAAGAATGTGAGATAGTTTCTTTAAAGAAATTTCTCAACCCATCAGAATTTAGCAGTGATAGAAAAACAATTTACTTGTTGCAAAACTTTTTATTAAGCAAAACAAGAGAGAGACCTTCCTCCCACCCTTGTACACAATATTTGACCAAGAAGTTCTAAAAATAATCTACAGTAGAGTTAGCAACTTCAAAAAGTTATATTCTGTTTACCAGCTAGATCAGGGTGGGCAAACATTTTGGCCCGAGGGCCACATCTGGGTGGGGAAATTGCATATGCAGAGCCATGAATGTAAGGGGGGGGGCAGGGAGTTGGGGCAGAGGGGTGTTGGGTGTACAAGGGGGTTCAGGGAAGGGAGTTGGAGTGCAGCAGAGGCTCAGGGCAGGTTGTTGGGGTGCAGGAGAGGTGCAGGGTGCGGCAGGGGGTTGGGCTGCGGCAGGAGGGGTTTGAGGTATGGGCTCCAGCCTCGGGCCGCTTACCTGGAGCGGCTCTGGGGTGGCAGCGGCGCCGGCTCAGAATTTTTGGATGTAAAATTAGACTTCTGTGGGCTTACATTGCAAGGTTTAAAAGGATTCTCTTTTTAAACAACCTTTGTAGCTCTTAAAAGCTTGGGGCTGAGTACTCAGGATTTACCTTATGAAGAAGATGCAACTATCACACTGGAAATATTCAAGAAAGAAGTGTAAGTAAAGTGACATTTGTACTCTTTGGCGTTATGTGGAAGAGAAAGATTTGTAGCCAATTTTAATTGCATGAATTCTTGTATTAAGCGGTTTCTAAAAATATCATTATGGTTTTTAATATTACTTTTTTAATCAGGTCTTAAATCTACAAAGTACTCAATAGTCACAGCTGCTTGACTTCAGTTTGAATATCAGGCACTTGTCACCTTATGTTCCTACCCTTTAATTATGTTAAAGAATAAAAATGTCACTATAAAGTCAAATTTAAACTAGAAGTGATTGGATTACATTTGGTTTTCCCTGTGAGGTGGATCATAATAAATGAGTAGTGATAGTTTAAAAATATAATGTTCTAATTTATGGAGTACCCTAGGGAGAACTAGCAAAAAAGTTCACAGTTGTGAAAATGATAATATTTCCATGAGTAGGTCAGATATTTTGCTATTGGTGCCACTGTTCGCTCTAAAGAGTATTTGTACCGACTGCACAGCAGCAGTGATTTTCTTGTCATCTCTGAAGGCAGTTTCCTTGAAAGCTGTATGTGGAAATGACACTTGCATTAAAATTTTTTACCAAACTGACATTGCTACTTGGGAAAATATCCCAAATATCAGAAATCAATACCGCAGGGAATTGATCAGAATAAATATCTGCAGCTTGGATGAATATTCTGGGGATACAGAGTAGTGCTGGTAATCTCCTCCTATACACAGGAGCATCCGTGTTTGACTACAGTGATAAACCTTTCAGTTATAATTAACCATAAGGGGTGGGATACTCGGTCAATAGATATACATAAAGCCTCAGTATTATCTAGTTAAAACTACTACTGTATTTTATAGGCAGCCTGGTTAACTTTTTTTTTTTTTTTAATTTAGAACAACCAATACACCAGCAACTGAGCCAATAAAATGTGTGTGGTTTGGAGCAACATTTTAATCAGGGCTCTGTCTATTCAATGCAGCAAATTCACTGGCTGTGGAGCTGGATGCTGAGATTCTGGAGTTGTGCTCTCGAATCACAGCATTTAAATTATGAGCAAAGAGAGAACCTTGAAAACATGAACTAAGCATAACCCATGCAGTGTCGCCTGCTTAGCACCTCATACAATTAGAGGAATTCATTTCAAAACCCTATGGACTCTTGCTATCAAGGCTATGCAAATTGGCATTTTTCCAAAGAGACCAAAGAATTGAGCATTTCTGCACTGAATTTGGCATTTTGCTGCATGCAGATGACCAGCATTTTGTTTCCCCATCTCTGTCCTGTAAAACCTGCCTGTAGTGCCTCTTGCTCTCTTTCTCTACAAAGGCAAGTTGAGTTACAGTGCAGTCTCTGCCTTGTTCCATAGATGTAGGCAGCAGGAAATTAGGATGCCAGAGCTGGAGTTCAGTTTACAGCCAAGGATCAGGAGAAGCCATGGGGTGGAGGACTGGCAAGCAAGGCAGCCTGGACAATTGTGTAAAGCCTAATGCCTGTTTTGAGCCTGTAGAAGTTCCCCATATCCCAAGCACACATTTGGGAAGGGGAGAGCATACCAAAAACCCCCTCAAATGTAATCTTCAGCTTCAGTTTGGCATGTTTGTTTGGGAGGAGGGGTACAGAACTGGAAAACTAGATAGTTACCCAGTTCTCCTTTACAAATAACAAAGTCTAGCACACAAGTCCATCTTTACTTCCCACATATGATGGAGAATAACTATGGTGGTTTGGGAAGGGATAAGAACACTATGTACTGAAGAAAATTCTATATTGAAATCTCATGTGTAATGAACAAATTGTTTACAAAAAGAACAGGAATACTTGTGGCACCTTAGAGACTAACAAATTTATTAGAGCATAAGCTTTCATGGGCTACAGCCCACTTTTTCGGATGCATAGAATGGAACATATATTGAGGAGATATATACACACACACATACAGAGAGCATGAACAGGTGGGAGTTGTCTTACCAACTCTGAGAGGCCAGTTAAGTAAGTGAAAAAAAAAAAACTTGAAGTGATAATCAAGCTAGCCCAGTACAGACAGTTTGATAAGAAGTGTGAATACTTACAAGGGGAGATAGATTCAATGTTTGCGGATACAGACTAACACGGCTGCTACTCTGAAATTGTTTACAGAACATCTAACTAGATTTCTTTTCTTCGATAGAAAGAAGAAGTTGCAGGAGAGCTGGGCAATATATCAATCTTAAGCAGCTGTCTGCTAAAAATAAAAATTTTTCTGAAGTCTTATCTTTGAGTTTGTTTTTATTTTAATTGCCTTTTGGCAACCGATAGTTTCACTTATCCAAAAATAAACTGAGTAGCATCAGCATAGTATGTAAAAAGTTGAATTATATGGTACTAGTTTAAATCAAATCAGAAACTACTCATTACACCCGAGGAACATCTTTTGAGGACTTCCTTTAGAAAAAAAATTCAAAACAGTATAACATTAAAAAGATGCTGTGTATCAACATCTTCCCTAGCAAGAATGGTTTGGGGCCATACAGTGATAAAAAATGACTTAAATCAGAGTAGCTCAAGGCAATACTTTGACACTTGTACAGAAATAGCTTTATATTTGAATCAACAAAATGTGGTTCTAGTATGCAACGAACAGCAGCCATTATGGCATTGAAAGTTTATTTTAAAGTCAGATATTTCTTTAACACTCGGGGGGGGGGGGGGGGGTAGAGAACAAGTTTTAAACAACCTGGAGAAGATACCCAAATTCCAACAAACCCATTATTTCCAAACGTAAGCAATTTGAAATACATAATATTTCAATAACTGAATCAGTTGTGATGGCATTTTTAAACAAGTTTACTAGTCAAAGTATGCAAGGCCTGTTCAGAACATTTTAAAGAGGACAAAGGATTTGGACATTCAAGGAAGAGACAATTCTGAAGTTTCCATAACAGGACTTAGTTTTAAAAGTTAGCATGAGCAGAGAAAATAGAACATGGACACATGCTTTTACCTCATTCCACACCCCCTGCACACACATTCAAGTATGTAATGTCCATGTGTGGGAATTTATGTACATAACTGTCCATATACCAAAATTAGAAAGCACCAATTTGAATGGAATGTTTACCACTGAATGAGTAGCATATATACCCAGAGTTTACTCCATATTACTCTAAACCATAAAAGTTTCTTCAGCATAACCATTATCGCCTTACAGCCATCAACTAAACAGATCACTCACTATTCAACAAGGAACACATTCTCCACTCTAGATCTGAGCCTGTTGTGCTCTACAGGCCTCTAGGCTGGGGTAGTTACAAAACAGGCAAAGTTAAATGTGATTAAAACAGATCTGACTAAACTATACCAGCTTAGAAACCAGTTCAGTATCTCAACTGTTTTAAAATGGCTATGTACAACATATAATCTGAATTATAAGAAGATTAAGGCATAAGGCTAGATCAAGTCAGCATTTTACAAAGATGTACTAGTGGTTTGTTTGGGGTGTTTTTTTTTAAACAAATATACAAAAGTATACTAATGTAATAGCTTGACTTCACTTTTATTCAGATAAATAACCTAGAACAGATATTTTACTTCTAACCATTTTCCTTGAAGATCTTTACTTATTTTCCTATATTAGGCCAGTTTGTTCTCAAATTAAGTAAAATCTCAACATCCTGTTGAGCTAATTTGTAAACTCCAAGTTCATTTAACACTGCGGTAGCAGAGGGCTGGTTCGGATCCAAGATGGTTCCATTTTCTGAGGCTGAATGTAGTGCATCTTTCAAAAGGAGGGCAGAGCCAACATTTAGATTCAAGATAATGCAGGCTTCTTTTATACTATAAGAGGAAAAAATACACACATTTTACTGCCTGAAATGAAAAGTGCCCATTTCAACTTCATGCCAGGACACAGTATATTCAGTCTGTGGTTTTTTTTTGTTTATCCCATTAATAAAATACTAATAACCACCTCCCCTTTCTGGATAGCTGAAAAGACAAAACCTGAACTGAAAAGATAATGCAGCCGCAGCTTTCAAGATATAGAGTAGACATCCACCTTCATGTCTTCATTGTTTTCAGTGAGACAAATATGAGTATAACCACCATTTGTGACATATAGTGCTTCCAATTACCCAGGTCCTTGCATTTGTTTTTTTAAACTCTAGTTTCCCCATGGAGTAAAGTAATAAAAGCCAATACTTTTTCACATTTTAATACTGGTAAAAAGTTAAGCAGGAAAGCAAGATGAACAACCTTCTCATTCAGTATACTTAGAAAAGAACACAGTATAATATATAGGTAACAACTGCTGAAATTTGAACACATTCCTTGTCAGAAGTCATCAAAAAGCAATAAGATGCCCTGTAACTGTACTTTTCTGTGCCTACACTTTCCCATTATAAATGGGGATAATACACATGAAGGGAGTGTGAAGCTTAATGTTGGAGAAGTACTTAAAAAGCCTCAACAAATAAAGCATCTTCCATTTAAGTATTATTGTAGTACCAATGTGTCACCTGCATCCTTAAACATTTCTGGACCCACTCCTGCACTCTTTATTCAGGCTGAAATCCTATTTAGCTTTGTAGGGCAATTAACCTTAGTAGGAATCACAGCACTGCACCCTTAGTCCTTGTTTCTTGATGGTTTGTCCTGCTACGGCTTCTTGTGCTGTTTACATGCTTTACCATCCAATTTTCCCTAAAAGTGCAAGTCTGTGTGTAACAAACAATCCACTGCTAACCTGTAAGAACCACAGAGACAATGGGAGCTTTGCTTAAGTATGAACTGCAGGATCATACCTGATGTAGTGGTACAGATTCTCTCCACTTTCAACACCATAATTTTAACAGATTTCTCACCCAATTAATCCAAGCTACAACCATGAAAGATGCTGATTTATACACAATGTAAGAACTTGGTATGATCAGTTGGATACTCGCTACTGAAATACTAATACTTTAGAAATTGGCTTACTTACTGTTTGAAATAATTTTCTGGCCTTTTGCAATAGTGGGAAAATAAAGGGAAAAGATTCCTAGTCATATCAAACTGAAGTTGTGCTGCTCCTCCTTCATTGAAGTGATTAGCCAGAATTACCTACATATGTATGCAAACAGATGCAATAAGTCAATTGCACTTTCGTTGTCACAGCACATATCACAACTGCAGATGCTTACCTCTTGATAGATGAACATATCCACTTTCTCTGCAAGCATTTGCCAGAAGATTTTAAACAGCGAGTAACAGAGCTGCTGTTCTAACTGCAGCAAACGATCTCTTAATGTCAACAACAGTGGGCAAGCTGTACTGGATAAGGACATTACTGCCTGCTCTGCCTGGGATGGCAAAGATAACCACCTGAAGAAACAGATGTACAACACGATGTTACAGTAAATTTATTCACAGAAAAGCAGTAGCAATGAAGCTCATCTTTTTCAAAAGTCCACAATCTCATCCATTTTTAAATTTTCTTAGGTTTCGGCTACCCCTCCACTTTCTCAAATATCCAAAAAAAGATCAGTCCGCATTATGGATTAATACTCTACACCAGTGGTTCTCAAACTTTTGTAATGGTGACCCCATTCATGTAGCAAGCCTCTGAGTGCGACCCCCCCCCCTTATTAATTAAAAACACTTTTTTATATATTTAACACCATTATAAATGCTGGATGCAAAGCAGGGTTTGGGGTGCAGGCTGAGAGCTCACGACCCCCCCATACAACAACCTAGTGACCCCCTGAGGAGTCCCAACCTCCAGTTTGAGAAGCCCTGCTGTACAGCAAGTATCCTTCTAATAATATCAAGGCTATATTTTAATTAAAGGAATGCAAGATAGGACACCAGAAATCGGGAGGGGGGAGAGGGGGGGGGACACGACTCCAAATGCGTAGAAACAAATCAGAAAAGAGCATTTATTTTAGAAAGCAGCCTTCCAATTTTACCCAGAAGCAAGTATTCATAGTTACATTTTTGATATGTAAATTCATGAATAAGCACGCCAATGATTGGGACCTAGTGTTGCAGCAGTTGCTTTTTGCCTACAGAGCTGTACCGTGTCCCAGTTTAAGGTTTTCACCCTTTGAACTCGTTGATGGCTACAAAGTTAAGGGGCCATTACAGTTGGTGAAGCAGCAATGCGGGGGGGGGGGGGGGGGGCTCTGAGTTACATCTTCTCCAGGAACTAACATTTTGGACTTTGTAACCAATCTGCAAAACACCCTCAAAGACTCTCTAGCCCTTGCTTGAGAAAACCTACAGGATGCTCAACAAGAGCAAAACGCCTGGTATGATAAACATGCCAGAGAGTGTTCCTTCAGTGTAGGTGACCAAATCATCGTCCTGAAAGCACTCAAGGCCAATAAGATGGAAGCGTTGTGGGAGGGGCCATTTATGGTCCGAGAACATCTGGGAGCTGTTAATTACCTCATCGCATTCCTGGACCCTACCCTAAAACTTAAAGTTAACTCTCTAAAGCCCTTTTATTCCCCAGAAATCAAGGTTCTCCAGCTTATAGCCCAAGAGAGAGACAACGCTGAGTGGCCTGAAGGAGTCTGTTATGAAGGAAAAAGGCACGGTGGCATAGAAGAGGTGAGCCTTCCATAACCCTTGGGAGTAAGCAGCGACAGCAAATCTAGGAGCTGTGCACCAGCTTTGTGCCAATGTTTTCAGCCACCCCAGGATGGATAGAACAGGTGTACCACCCCATTGACACAGCAGATGCTCACCCAATTAGAGCCCAGCCCTACCAGATGGGTCCTCAAGCGAAAACCGCGATAGAAAGGAAGATCAAGGATGTGTTATAGATGGGTGTAATCTGCCCCTCTGAGAGTGCATGGGCCTCTCCAGTAGTTCTGGTTCCCAAACCAGATGGGGAAATCCACTTTTGCATGGACTACCATAAGCTAAATGCTGTAACTAGCCCAGAGAACTATCCAATGCTATGCACAGATGAACTATTGGAAAAACTGGGACGTGCCCATCTACTCTGGCAAGTTTCTGACTACTAAAGCAGCTTTGAGGTGTACACACTGCCAAACCACGTAGTGCGCAAGAACTGTGCAGTTGCAGCGCTATTAAAAAAAAAACCAACGAGAGACGTAGAGCTTTCGCCGGGGCTACAGTCTTGCAGTGCCAGTGTAGACAGTGGCAATTACAGTACAGCGATTGGCCTCCGGGAGGTGTCCCACAATGCCTGTTCTCACCTCTCTGGTCATCGGTTTGAACTCTACTGCCTTAGGTGACCAGCCGTCAACCCCACCCATTACATTCCAGCGGAGGGCAACCAATAGGAAGGGGACTGGAGCACATGACTTATGAGGAGAGGGGACTGGGATTGTTTAGTCTCCAGAAGAGAAGAATGAGGGGGGATTTGATAGCAGCCTTCAACTACCTGAAGGGGGGTTCCAAAGAGGATGGAGCTCGGCTGTTCTCAGTGGTGGCAGATGACAGAACAAGGAGCAATGGTCTCAAGTTGCAGTGGGGGAGGTCCAGGTTGGATATCAAGAAAAACTATTTCACTAGGAGGGTGGTGAAACACTGGAATGCGTTACCTAGGGAGGTGGTGGAATCTCCTGCCTTAGAGATTTTTAAGGTCAGGCTTGACAAAGCCCTGGCTGGGATGATTTAGTTGGGGATTGGTCCTGCTTTGAGCAGGGGGTTGGACTAGATGACCTCCTGAGGTCCCTTCCAACCCTGATATTCTATTATTAGGACTTCTTGAAAATGGAGGTAGCCCTTAAAGCCCTATCACAGTTGAGCCTTAATATTCCCAAAGAAACAATTATTGTCAGATAACAAGAGTCAGCAAAGGACAGTTACCTGTTCCGTAACTGGCGTTCTTCGAGATGTGTTGCTCAGATGTATTCCACAGTAGGTGTGTGTGCTTGCCACATGCACCGGTGCCGGAAGTTTTTCCCTTAGCAGTACCCGTAGTGGGGGAGCCCCGCAGCGACCCCTGGAGTGGCGCCTCTATATCGCGCCATAAAGGGGGCTGCGCGCTCCCCCCACCCTCAGTTCCTTCTTGTCACCAGTGAAGGTAGTTGGAACTTGTACTCCAGCATTGCTGTAGCTTCTATCCTTGGTAGTACCTCGACTGTTACTAGTTTCTGCAGTTAGTAGCCTGGCTCGGGGCATGCCCCGAGCCCCAGGCTTCAAGTCGTGCGACTCCTGTGGCAATTCCATGCCCAGAAGCGATCCACACTCCGAGTGTCTTCGCTGTCTGGGCAAGGCTCACATAAGTGAGTGGTGTAAAATCTGTAAGTCCTTCAAGCCCCAGACTAAGCACGAATGCGAAATCCGACTCCGGGCCCTACTTAAGGAGTTGACATTGGCCCGGGCGCCAGGCACCATGTCCTCGGTGCGGAGCAAAGCCCCATCCACCAGTCGGCACGCTCCCCTGCCAAGAAGCAAGGCAAGACCCAGCGGCGCCGAGACAAGGACAGGGGTGAGGCCGGACCCGAGTTGGGCAGCCCACGATCCCCCTCGGGACCCAGACCTCCGACTCGTGCGGAACAGAGTAGTCCAGCCCCGTCTGCACATGCCTCCCCGACGATGAGGGTTCTGTCAACACCGGAGGCAGCCCAGGCAGCGCGCGACATCCTCGTCATGCCGGTACCGAGCGGGCCGCCCGAGCTGGGGCCCCGGTCCCGAGGGAAGACGCCGTTGGGCGCTCACCAGCCCTCACCGGCCAGGTCGGCGGTCGATGTCTCTACTCGATCCGCCAGGCCTTCCCGTAGCCCGCGACAGACCTGCAATTCGTTGTCAGGGTCGCCTGGGAGTGAGTCGCCGGAGTCTTCCTCGACCCACAGGGGCCGCGGGCACCGGGACAGGAAGCGTCGACTTGAAGCCATGGCATGCCCTGGGCCAGGCTACTAACTGCAGAAACTAGTAACAGTCGAGGTACTACCAAGGATAGAAGCTACAGCAATGCTGGAGTACAAGTTACGACTACCTTCACTGGTGGCAAGAAGGAACTGAGGGTGGGGGGAGCGCGCAGCCCCCTTTATGGCGCGATATAGAGGCGCCACTCCAGGGGTCGCTGCGGGGCTCCCCCACTACGGGTACTGCTAAGGGAAAAACTTCCGGCACCGGTGCACGTGGTGAGCACGCACACCTACTGTGGAATACACATGAGCAATCACTCGAAGAAGAAGAATTTCTTCTGGGAGTCCTGCTGCAGTGTGCCTCCACTATTTGCAGGACTGTGCTTTAGAAAAGCAAAATCTAGTTAAAAACATTTTTTTTTTTTAAGAATTGTGAAGAAATACCACAGACACTTTCCAAACATTTTACATCTCTCTCATTTCATTCATAGAAATGGATTTTTACATTAGATAGTTTTTTGCCAAGTCCTAACATTTTATAACAAATTATTAGAAGACATTAACACAAAGACTCACCTCTCCTTTTTGTACAGTTTTGCAGCATCTTTGACCTCCCTGAAGACATGGTCTACTTGGCGGGTCAACATATCATGTTTTAGGCGTTCTAGGAGGTTAATCATGTCATCAAAGACAGAGCTTTCCATACAAGCTAACTGTCCTAGCTGTAGCTTACTGAGAGCATTACTGTCTGCACAAACCTCCAGCGCAGCCTGCTGAAGCTCCAAGAAGAACTACAGAAACAAACAGATTTGGATATAAATACTAGAGCAAAAAGGTTTCTACCATGTTAACTTTTTATTTGTACTTTAATATGCATAGCTTCATCTGATAATGTGTTTCCCTAAGGTTTTTATAAACTAAAAATTTGTTTTCAAAGAGAAGCGATTAAAAAAAAAATCTGGTAATTCTATTGTCCCTAAATGAGTATAGTGTTTTAAACCCAGTGATGGAAATAGAAAGCTGTTGTATCCCATCTGACTTCACAATAGTACTAACAAATAATTTAGTAAACACAAGCTGAAGGGTCAAATTTTCTTCTGGCCTAAGTGACATAGGCTCCTAAATTCCATTTTCAGAAGTTCAATGTAATTTTGGGCTTTTAACTACCTGAGTCACTTTTGAAAATGAGACTTAGGTGCTTTGAAAATTTTACCCAAAAATCTCAATTCTCTGATTTCTGCAAAGTCTGACAGACATTCTATTTTTAACATACTAAGAAAAAACTACAAGACTTGGATAGCATTTAAATTGTAATAAATGTTTCCTTAACTAAAAAAAAAGTTTCTGAATTTAATTCTATAAAGAAAATTAAATGGAAGTGTTCATATTATGGTGATAGTGGCTACATATGTTAGATCTAGCATATTAAGCACTGAATTTCAACATTTCCAGTTTTTTAGTTAATCGTTGATTTTAACAGGTATTCATTAATTAAGTTGCATACTTAAATATACAGAAACAAGCTTGGATTCCGAATTAGGACACACTACCGCAAACCTCCAAGGCCATGGAGAGCCCCACTGAGGTTAATAGAGATCCGCACAGGTCTCCACTAGCAGACCCCAATATCAAATCAGGGTTTGTAGGTAGGTAAAACAAAGCATACTCTCATGGCTAGCCAAATCCACACAGACTTGGCTGTCAGATGTGTCTGGCTTCTCAATTTTACATGAAGGATCAGCAACTCACTATCAACTATAGGTGCATAGATGTGTGCTGAAAGTAATATCTTATGGCATTAGGTAAAGATACTTAAGAGCAAGAATTAAAAAACCAAGCAAATATGCTTCAGCAGAAAAAAAAATCCTAAAAATTAAAATCCTCATATTTAGAAGCAATGGATCATTAGCCAGAAAGATAGGTTGACCTGGAAATTTAGCATATTGACTATAAGTTTTAGATACATTTTAGTTTGTCGAATATAGCATAGTCTGGGATTCTTGCTTCCTGGGCTGACTGAGGCAAGAAAATTAGCTATGGTTAGTGTGACACAATGGTGCTTTCTTTTTACAGGTAATGGAGCATTCTGCAGGTGGTAGGCTACAAGTAGCAGTGGGAGGAGGACTGTTGGCTGTAAGAGTGAAGTATAGCTCTAAACATAATGGGTAAAATAATCCTTCCCCTACTAGATTCACCCTGTTTCCTGGGAAAGTGACCACTCCTATAAATCTTACACATGAGCAGTCTCATTGACTTCTACCAGACTACTCACGTAAGGGTTAACAGAATAGGATCCATAGGTGGTCTCCCATGTAACAAGATGCTGCAGAATGGCCCTGGTGCAGTGCCAGTTTACAGGAAACTAGTCTGCTTTAGGTGTTTTGATACAGTGCACAAAAATGGCAGTATTTAAGCACTGTTTAAATGATAGGTAGTAATTTATCCTTAAATTAAGCATCTTTCACTGAATTAGAATTTACATCTGGTTCTGTTTTTCAGGACTCATCATTAATTCTGCATTTTAAGATATTGAGATGAATGAAGTGGTTTTAGTTGAGCACCACATGACAAAGCTAGTTTATTTCTTTATGTAAAACAATAATTACTCACAACATTGTCAGCCCAGTCTGCTAATACTGTTGCTATATAGTTAACAGCATTAAGAATGGCACAATAACGGAAGGCTAAAGAAGCTCTAGTCTCTTCCTTCATAACTTGAGTTAACCGGATTCTGAAGTCATCAACTAAGTCTTTTTGTAACTCCAAGAACTGTAGTTTTCTAGATGCTGTAGGAAGATTCTTATACCTGTCTGGAGAGACAATTGTAAAAATTTTATTTTCCAGAGTAAATAAAAACAGGAACTTTTAAAAAAAAAAAAAAGTATTTTGTTGCTTCACGACTAAGGCCACACTCCTGCAAAGACTTCCATTCATGCCTAATTTTACACCCTAAAAGTAGTCCCACTGAAGTCAATGGGACTACTTACAGTGCATAAAGTTAAGCACATATGTAAATCTCTGCAGGACTGGGGCCTAAATAAATGGTTGTTTTACTGATTTCACTATAGCATTTAATTTTTATTTTTTATTTATTTATTTACTTTTTAACTGAAAGCAAACTTGAAAAACACTTAACACTAGGTGGACCTCAGAAATCTTCCCACAAGATCTGACAGATACACATTTAGTACTCAAATAAAAATCACTTTGATGTTCATCTGCTCTTACTCACAGTGTAGAAAGGCTAAAGCTAGTTAGTATCTACTTTTTCAGGAATTCATTTTTGGTCACACAGCCATTCCCTGGGCTGAATCCCTCAAAAGAGATAACAGGACTTGTTTTATTTAATTTTTACACATAAATAACAAATATGAATTTAATTTATCTTCTTTCAAATTTAAACAAATTTCTAATGGTAATCATCAGGTGTATCACTGTAGAAATTAGTACAAATATAAAAGTTTGATCATTATCTCTAGAATTATTCATTAAAGTTCAAAGGAAAAGGCAACAAGAATTCCATTTATTTGTTAAAATGCAAACCAAACAATACTACTACTTCTTACTCCTTTGATGACTCCATAACCACTGACTTTAATGTATATTTTCTTATTGAATTATAGTTCTTGAAGTATTCAGGAGAATTCATCTTAAGAAGTGTTTCAAATTTTATCATTACCTGTGATAACCTGTAACAGAGTCGTAAAAGTTTCAGCACAGTCTGGGACTTTCATTTCATCTACATCAGTGATATCTTTATATTGCGATACCCAGGCAGCTTCAGATGAAAGTATAGAGTCCATCTTTTGAAGAGCAACTGACAGGCACACAAAAATGTTTAATAATTTAAATATTCATATATTTCTTAAACTTGCTTTCGGGTTTATATATTTAAAATTTATTCTAATAAACTATCATTTTTAAATAAAAAGACTAAGAATCCTAAAATATAAGATTTAATAAAAAGTAACACTGACTAAAATACAGTTCTTAAATTTGCAAATTAAAACATCAATTGCTTCAGTTAAGATGAAGTATGTTAGAGCAATATAAAATTAGCTTATTGAAAATCATCACTAATCATAATTTTTAAAGTACTCATCAACTCTGTACAGCTGTATTTTTCCTTTACCCAAAAGAGGGTCAGAAAATTCATGGCCTACTACAGCTGTTCTTATTCTTTACAATACAACACTTAGACACTATTATCATCATCACTGCTTGAAAATTTACCAACATCTACTATCCTGAGGATTAAATCTTCAAAACAAGCTGAAAAGCATTGTGCTGTCATGTACTCCAAAGCCAAACCTCTGCAATTTAATGGAAAAAACCTTTAGGTACTGCATTTAACATTTTCACTCAATTATCTTTTTAAATGTAGCCTACTACACAAATATATCTGCCAATGAATTTCACCTGTCTGTCAAATAATATAATAGCCCTTTATACAGCTAAAGTTGTACAAATATTCTTTTGCAACAACAGATATTTGACTAATACTCTTGAAGTCAAATAATATATTCACTGAACACTATTCAATCAGCTTTATTTACTACGGCCTGAACACACAACAGGAGTTAGATGCCTAAGTCCCACTTTTGGGACCAATGGGATCCACAAGACTCCCATTGAAACTCTGTAAGCACCCAAACTCACTGGACGCCTATGTTTTTTCAGTAAAAGTTCTGCTTCTGTGCATGTGTGCTGCTGCTAATCTCCCACATTAGCCTTAGAGCAATTCATAAACCAGGGGAAAAGAGGTGTTCTCCTGTCTAACTTGCCTGAGTGGTCCAATCTGGTAGGCAACTTCTGAGCATACTTATTGGATTGGGACCTCAAAAGTTTACACAAGAGAATGGGGGGAAAGTAGAACGAGACAGGCCTCCAAAATAGCTTTTAGCCCACTGGTTAGGGAACTGGGGGTCTCCCAGATGAGTACAAGTCCCCCTCTACCCGCAGGGAAGAACAGATCTGAACTGGAATCTGCCTATTCTCAGGTGAGGGCTCTAACCATTGGGTTATAAGATATTCTGATTTGGGGAATTCGTCAATCTCTCCTATTGAAGCTGGTGCACTGTGGAATATTTAAAGAGTCATTGGAGCAGGGGGAGAGCATGCATGCATGCACGCACACACAAACATCTGTGTAAGCATAGAGTGACTCTATAGACTCATGGTTAGCACATCCACTGAGGATGTGGGAGATCCAGGATCTACTGCCCCTTGCCATGACTCTTTAAATATTTAGCCACAGTGCAACAGCTTCATCAGGAAATTGAGAGATTCTCAACATTAGAATATCCCATAGCCCATAAGGAGGGCTTGAACCAGGAGTCTACCACATCCCAGGTGAGTACCCTTATCACAGGGCTAAAAGTTATAAGGGAGGTGGTCCTCCCTTCCTAGTTTCTTGCTAAAACAGCCTAAGATACGAAACTCCAAAGAGATTTCCTGGTTGTGAATCGCAAGCAGAAACAGAAGACTCCCTGTAGCCCAAACTTAGGCTCCTATCTCTGCAAAAGGGGCAGGGCTGAGCACAAACAAGCTCTGGTCAGTTTCTCCCTTTCTAGTTTAGACAATCCCTGCCTACCATACAGACTACAGCATCTCTCTCTCCCTATTCACTATATATGTGCCAACTCAGGCTTTGTGTATTGTAGTGATTTTCCCGGGGACCCAACTCCTTTTCTGCATTCAAGCCTGCATCTCTCTTGCTTTTCTTATAGCTTCTTTCACTCATTCCACTCTCTCTTCCCCTATAATAGATCTTGGTGTGTCTCTTTCTCCCTATAGTGTCCTTTACTTGCTCCCCTGTACTTCTGTCTATTTTCCCTGTTACTCTTCCCCGTAAAAATTAGTAACCTCTTTTTCTTTCTACTATATTTTTCTTTCCTAATTTATCCCATCAATTTAAAAACCCACCTTCACCCAGGCACACACACAGAATATGGACATTTATCTGAGGAATAAATCCCCACAATCCAGGGGCAGCAAGCATACCAATTATGGTGGCATTAGCAAGTGTTGTTTTAAAACTAAACAGGACAGTCTTGTATAAAAATCAGGGGCCTGATCCAATATCCCTTATTCATGTGATATCCTAACTTAATGGAACTATTTGTAGAGTAAGTATTACATGATTAGGCCTTCATATATTTTTCTTTAAACAAAACCAATCATATTAAATCTTACATTTTCTTTCCACAGTTAGCCACCTTTGAAAACAGGTTTCTTCTGACAGAATATGCATGCAACTGGGAAAGCTGCTGAGATATCCATGAGTAGCGTATAGCTCTCTTTCAAATAGAAGCACCTCATCCACGAGATGACAAAAGAGATTATCGTCATACAATAGGCAAGGGATATCAGCAGCCAACTTCTCCAAAATCAGCATTACTAGAGCACGGGAAAATTCAAGCTTCAAGAAAAAAACAGAAGTCACCAAAGTAGATAAAAACTGCAAGTTAAATTTGTTAATATTTATGCATTTTTAAAACTCTTTCTGAACTAACTTCAGCCCCATCACAAATTCAGTAAGGTTAATGAAGTTGTGCTTACTTACACCACAGCTAGAATTTGGCTGTATATATAATTGCACATACAGTAACTCCTCGCTTAGCGTTGTAGTTATGTTCCTAAAAAATGTTACTTTAAGCAAAACGATGTTAAGTGAATCCAATTTCTCCATAAGAATTAATGTTAATAAGAGGGGTTAGGTTCCAGGGAAATGTTTTTCACCAGACAAAAGACATAAGTTTTAAACAAACAATTTAATATTGTACACAGCAATTATGATTGTGAAACTTGGTTGCGGTGGTGGAATCAGAGAGTGGAAGAGGGTGGAATATTTCCCAGGGAATGCCTTGCTGCTAAATGATGAACTAGCACTCAGCTGAGTCCTCAAGGGTTAACACTCTGTTGTTAATGTAGCCTCACATTATACAAGGCAGCACGAATGGAGGGAGGAGACATGATAGACGCATGGCAGTGGCTGCAAACATTCCCTGCGGAAACTGAACGTGATGATGAACCCACGCTATCCCACTGGAGCGCATCACTCCCTCCACTTTCCAAAGTGCCGGGGGCCTGTGTGTGTATCACACAGAGAGCGAGACAGACAGGTGCATTGCCCCTTTAAGTGTGCTGACCCCTCTCCAAGTACACTGCCTTTTTAGTCGATCAGCAAGTTGAGAGAGCAGCTGCTGCCAGCATGCTCCCTCATCCTGTCATGTCCCTCCGGCTCTGTGGAAATGGGGTACAGAAGCAGGGGGAGGGCGACACCCTGACATCAGCATCCCTCTTCCCCCTGACCCCTGCACAGCAAGCAGGAGGCTCCTGGGAGCAGCTCTAAGGCAGAGGGCAGGAGCAGCACGTGGCATTGGGAGGAGGTACACCTGAACTGCCCTGCAATTGCCACACAGGGAACTTAGGGAACTGATAGGAGGGCTGCCAGCCCACCCTGGTTCCAAGCTCCCACCAGCTAGCTCCAACAGCTGCTCTTCCTGCAAGCAGTGGACAAAGCAGGCGGCTGCCAAACAACATAAGGGAATATTGCGCAACTTTAAACAAACATGTTCTCTAATAGATCAGCAACATAACAAAACAATGTGAACCCAGTTAACGTTGTTTAAGGGAGGAGTTATTGTAACATATTTGCTTACCCTTGCATTGACTGAAGAGCCTGCCTTGTCCAATATTGGCTGGATTTTATCATCGAGGAATTTTGCGTGATTTCCAATCCACATGAGTACCTGGGTTAGGTACCACTCAGGCTTGTACAAAATAAAGAAAAAAGCAAAAAACACCCAGAACATTAAAGTTAACTCCACCCAAAAAACAACTGATATATGAACAGGAGTATAGATTTCACCTACAATACCCACTACAAACAAATATGAAACATAAAAGGACATAACTACTGACAAGTCAGAAAGATTATATTAAGGGTACGTTTTAAAAATAAAGTGTGATAAAGAGTTAAGTTACTAGATGTCTCAATAAATGGTTAATCAACTGTTATAACCATCCATAACACATTCTACTCATTCCTGTAACATGCTTCTAACATCTATTCAACACTGTTAACTCTTTATAAGCTATTTATAAGTGTAGCAAGAATACAAAGCATGACCAGAAAAAGCAGTTGGGGGGGGGGGGGTTAACGAATGCCAACTTTAAATTGGATTTTGCAATTTAGAGCAGTTTATTTTACAACAACAGCAACATTTAAAACCTGGGTTGGGGGTTGGCTTCGGGTGGGAAGGGAGGAAAAATGGAGGACATATATT